GCGCACAATAGCAATCGTACACTTCTTGGCTTTGCTTCCACCTTACTATATCCTCAGCACTAGCATTGCTTCTGAGGTGAGGAAGCCTTTTGCAGCTAAATATACTCCAAATTGCCGAACGTACATTCTGCAACGCTGAACCACACAGGTTCTTCATTTTTTGTAAGAGCTATTGGAGATTAAGCACCATAAAAAATGCTTAGACCTATTGAAAACGATTGATAACGATATAAAACAATATACACAGGTGTCAAATATTATTGCTTACCTGAGAACACCACACACTATGGAACCAGTTTGCAAAATCGTTAGCACTTATGTTTGCTATGAATTTAGAGAACTTTTCGTTCAAGTAGTTCTTGAGGGACTCTTTTATTTCATCTTGGGTGGGATATATTACACGCGGGAAAAGATGTTTGACAATGCTAATATATATTTCCTGTGAAAATGTAAAAAAAAAAGCGCTCGAAATATGTCAAAAAAAAAGTGCTCAAAATATGCCCTAAATTACTCTTGCTTTCTACAATACTTATATCCCACACTTTGGCCGAAAGATCCTCGCCTTGAATGCCTTGAGTGCCTTGAATGTTTCTTTGCCGCATTTCATTCCTAAGATCTTGAAAATCGTCGCTTAACTGTCTGATCAGGAGGTATATTTGACGGTTCTGAGCGAAGAGACGTTCTCGGTCCTCAGCTTCACGGCGACGGCGACTTGAACGAGCTCAAATAAGGTAACAGGTATCAAAGGTAACAAAAAAAAAAAAAAAAAAAGTTTCAAAAAAAAAAAAATTAGATCAGAAGATCGGCATTCAAAAATCAAAAAAAAAAAAACTTTTTATACCATCTCGATTATTGTCATGATTATGTGACTGATTTTGATTGGAAGATCGATGATTAGGCGATGCCGATCTTCCACGTGTTTGCTGCGGCTGCGGCTGTGGTGATAATGATTGCGATGCACGATGTGAGGTAGGTTGAGAAAGCGATGGTTGTCTAGAATAAGTTTGCTGAACAGATTGTCTGGAAGGTGATGGTTGCCTGGAAGAAGTTTGTTGAGTGGATTGTCTGGATTGTCTGGATTGTCTTGATTGGGTTGGAAGGGATGATTGGTGTTGCCTACTTCTACCACTCATTACGGAAAAAGTATTATGTGCACTTCTTATAGATCTAGTGGATGTGTCAGAATCAG